AGGGGGGCAGGGCTGTCACTGGGCCTTTTAACATGGCCTAAAACCTGGAGGGGACAGCCCTGCTCTCCTCCCTGGGGACCAAATGGGCAGCTAGGGCTTGCCAGAGACCACTCTGGGGCCAAAATATCCCTTCCCCTTTGTACCTAGCAGGGAGAGGGCACCCATCTAGCTCTGACATGCTGAACCTGCTGCCCACATTCCCAGCTGCTTCTGGGCGTTCCAACCCCCTTGAGGTCCTGGTCCTTCAGGCACTGTAGCAGACTGGCTTAACATGAGGGCTGTGATGCTCCCACTCTTCCCTACCAGCCAGGCAAGCTGGTCCCAGTTGCCCCTCCACTGTGTGGTCCGGGAGGTACATTCTCCCTCCCCAGCTGCCATCACCCAAAGCTGCTGTGGTCTAATACTATTGCTGAAAGGTCTGGTACTGTAGCATGGCACCCAGAGCCCAGACAGATGCAGCCACAGGCTTTGAGGAGTTTAAAGCTAAGAGACCGCTGGATCGTCTCAGCTGCACAGCACAGATAGGCATGACCACAGGGCATTTTCTGTCTTCAGCCCAGTAACTTGTGTTTGTCTAAAGGACCTTCCGCAAAGGCATCACATCTCAACCTACCAGCAAGAGATGGAGAATCTGCTCCTTCCCCTGAGAGTTTGTGCCAGTGGGTAATCACCTTTATTGTCAGAAATCAATGCCTTATTTCTCATTTGAATCTGTCTGACTCTGGCTTCCAGTTGGCTTTTGTTCTGCCTTTGTCTGCTAGATTAGAGAGCCCTTCAGCACCCAGCGCTTTCTGGCTGTGAAGGCTCTATAATAGGGTATATTGTATTACAGTGTACAGCATAGCCATGGCTGGATGCACTGTAATCAAGACACTTTGTGATAATTTTGATTGGCTAAGCAGCTTGTCTTCCTGCAAGGCATTTTCCCCAGCTTTCAGACTGTTTGGGAGCTCTATGCTCCCCCCTGCTGTATTTCAACATCCTTTTTAAAAGATGGTCTCAGAACTGGCTTCAGAATTAGTGTCACCACTAGGCTGGGAAAAGTCACCCCCTGCACATGTTGTTTACTCATCCAAAGCTGGCATTAGCCCTTATATTGCAGCGCTGTACATTTTGAGTGACTGATCCAATTTGACCCTCACACCCTTTCCAGAGTCCCTGCTTTCCAAAATACCTCCACCGCCCCGCCCCCTTTAGGTCTCATTTGCATCCTTGGTTTCCAGATGTATGACCTGCCATTTGGCTGCATTGTAAACATCTCCACAAAGCTCTGTCACCTGCAAACTCCATCAGCAGCAAGGTAGCACTTACTGCCAGACTGCTCACAGAAAGGTCAAGCCATCAAGCCTGGGGCTGATCCCTGCAGAACCCCACTAGAAAACATCCCATTCCAGGATCGCCACTCACAATCACTTTCTGAGATCTGTCAGCCAGTTCTTGGTCAGGGCTCCACTAATACTGCTTAGTGGTTTGTTTTTAAATAGACGCTGGGGCTAAAGCCAAAGTCAAACACCATACAACGCTCTGCATGCAGCTGTCTTTACTTCCCTCAACCAACATCTCTCAGCACCCTAGTGCAGACAGGGAGCTACAGCATCTCACCAGTGTTCTGTTGTCAGATGTGGGGGAGGGGAGAGATGCATCATCAAGATATTTATGAATGCCACAGAGGAAGAGGGATAGGAGTTCGTCCTTGCCTCAGACATCCTGGCTGGGAGCACTGCTGCTGTAGTGAGGGCTCATCACAATGCCATTTACCCCAATGGGCCAGGAGGGCTGGTGGTGGGGGGCAGCTTCTGAGCCCAGACTAGTCCTGGCTAATGCAGAATCATGACTTCATATGGTAAGGGGGGTCATCTGCTGTTTGGGAGATGCCCAGGACTAAACTGGGGGTGTGCTGTCGGCAGGGGGGTGGGGGTGTAGGGACATCAGGGGGCTACAGATCAGGATTGAGGGGAGCCATTAGAACTGCAGGAGGACCCTAGGGCTGGGTAGCGGAGGGCTGCGGGTTGTGGAGCACTAGAAAAGATGCTTTGTTCCTGGGCAACCCAGGGCTGAAATAGCGGGGGTGGGGGGAGGTTTGGGATTGAGTATTTTCTCATAGAGGACCTCTCCCCAGAGCTTGTCTGGGATGTTCCCAGTGTCCAGGGGATTCCCTACTGGGGCTGGCAGTGCAGGCTTCTACAGGCTGCCTTTGCTTTTTGAAGCTGCTTCCAGCACAACAGAAACCGGGGAGGTTTCAAACCAACCCACTATGAGTCAGAGCCTTGTGGGCTGCCCAAGAGATGGGAGAGTAGTTAGCTCCCTGGCAACACAAGGTAAACAGTCAAATAGGGGTGCAGCCGCATGGCGCAGGGTGGGGCAGATCTGCCGCAGCTGGGAGGCCATGCTGTGTCCAACCGTTATTGCTGGAGTCTGCAGCTCCCTGGGCTCCCCTCCCCACCATTACCACTGCTGACTTCCCCATTGTTCCTTGCCCTGCAGGGCTGTCACAGGTATCCAGGGCTGGGCACCTGCCCCTGGTTCCCTCCCCGGCTATCACTTTGCTTGCTGGTGCAAGAGCAAAATGCACACATGCCTGTGAGGACACACACAGGCACACACAACACAGAGGAGCAGTGTTGGCACTGAGAGGAGGAGTGAGATGCTCCTGTTAGAGAAAAGGGGGTTCCCCTGCAGGATGAGGGCTGGGGCACTGCAGCTGAAGCAGCCTCTGGACCCTAGATTTGCCCTGGGTGTGAGGAAATGCCAGACATTTGAGAAAAACCAGAACCAGGCACAACTTGGGGGAGAGGGGGCAGTCCCCTTTCTCACAGCCCTGGACACTGCAACCTGTCTGCTCTCTGTAGGCTTTCCCAGGGCTCCAGGCTGCCCAGGCATCCATACCCCCAGATCACAAGAGGGTCATGTTCTCTGTCCATCTCCATCCCTTCCTGAATGCTGGAACAGGATGGAAGGGGAGTGGAGCCAGGACTATCTTAAGAGATCCCAGGGTTCCAATCCTGGCTCCCCAATCTCTCCTTTCAGAAGGCTCCAGGTCAGCACTCAGCCAGAGCTGAGCCCAGCAGTGGGAGGGGGGGTGTCATTTCCATTCCCATTCCCTTCTCCCACTCCTGGTTCACTGTGGTCCCTGAGATGCCAAGGAGGGGCAGTTTGGAAAGAGGAGGACTCTCTGCCTCCATGTGCTGCTCACAGGCTCTGCAGGGGAGAACAGCTCAGCAGCAGAACAGAGTGGCCAGCATGCCAGACATTCCTTCCCCTGCACAGGTGGAAACGTCTGGGTAATTGCTTGCTGAAGCCTTGCCAACATGAGCTGAGCCTCTTGGTGGTGTGATTGGGTACCCTGTAGCCCCTGCATAGTGATGATGGGTATTATCTGGCTAGCGGGGCTTAGCACTCCAGTGGTTTGCAGACTGTGCCACAGCAAACTGGTGCTTGCAGAGTGAGTCGGGGTGTCCATGGAGCTCTGCAACATCAAGCTGTGTCCATGAAATGGCTCGTGGTGGTTGCAGACATGCACTGATAGGGCTCATCCATGTCATTGAGAAAGGTGTTAACAGCCTGAAAGCACCACCACCCAGATGAGTACCCAGTGACCCCTGTGCCAGCAGAGAGGGCACAGACTAACAGGACATCTGGGCTGAGCTCCCCAGGCAGGGCTGGGCTCAATGGTAGGAGCAGTGTAGGGGGAGGCTGAGCTGGTACGGGTCTGCTCTGAATTCTTCAGAGTTATCCATCCAGTGCCTTCTTCCCCTGCCATCTCCCCTCCCCACTCAGATGACTGTACG